TTAAATCCCACTCTTTCTATTGTTGACATATGTTAACCTATGGTTAATAAAAGATAGAAGTTTTGTTTATATTTGCTTGAGAATGTCGAACTTACACAATAGACGTTTGTTCACGTCCCAAATAAATACTTGCTTCATGTGTTTAACTGCCTCCTAATAGACAAGGAACAACATCGCTTCAAACCGTCATATATGTCCTCGTTGAGTTGCGCTAAACGCCTTTGACTCAACTTATATAAAGTAGTATTGTCTTTGATTGACATAACCTTTACACAAAGTTTTATATAAAGTAAATAAATAATATTGTTACATATTTTTAGCTTATGACATATATTTAATTGTAAGTTGTAAGCAGATGAAAACGTTATAGATACGGAGGATGTCCAATTCGTGATATTGTGATACATTCTCCTTGGAAATAAATAAATACTGGCTGGAATTATTAAAAAAAAGCAATACATTTTCTTTTGTTTTTAAAAATAGTTAGTTATATTAATAGTTCGATAAACTGATTTTTGCGCGGTTATAAAATATCTCTGCTTGAAAAGTTTTACTACGGCGATGGTACAATTTGAGAGTAGCAGGAGTTCAGTTGGATCGATTCACAATGGACGAAACGGTTTTATAATACGGAAACGAAAAACAGTCCTCGATTTGGAAGAGACCGTCATCTCCAACTCTGAAGAAATTTAATAGACCACAAGCCCATGAACAAAAAATACCTGTGAAATGACCCAACGTGAATTACGTTTAGAAGGCTGTTACTATATCTGAAAATAACTCTGAGCACTATGCCGTCATTTCTGAGCGGCTAAGTCTTTCACCCGGTATCATGAGCTGTTTTTTCTGGGACAACCAAGGGGTGGTAATGATCGAATACCTTAACCATGGAGCCACTATTACGGGGACTTTGCAGCAACGGTGTGTCGTCGCTAAAGTTGTTTTGTTTCAGAAGATAACGCCCCCACGCACAGGTTCAGAGATGCGATGGTTGCCACACGAGAAGCTGACTTTAAATTGATGGAACTTCCTTCATACTTATTTTCACCTATGAACAACACTGATCCAGTTTTCCAGATAAAAAAGTGGAGTGGGACTAGATTTCCCGAAATTCCCGAATCAAACTACAGTCAAAATCTGTTATAACGACATCGAAGGGACTACTCATATTAGGTCGTAAAAACAGATAGTCGTAACAGCCGATGACGTTAGTAAGTATCTAATACAAAAAAATTCAGCCGGGAACTTTGATTTTGGTCAATATAACCGGTATGTTGTTCTAAACGATGTCGCCGTAAACGGTATTAACTGTAATAATAAAAGCTATAAGTACGCAATAACCAAAGACAATAGAAAATAATTAATAATAAACGCATTTCAACTTTATTACAAAATTTTATTAAAACATTTTTCGTTGAGAGGGGTTTAAATATCGAAATTGACCTCGCGCCCTAAAGCGATAGAAAAACAAGATGGCCGATTTCAAGATCAGCTGTGTTATAATATCTATTAGAGAATAGGTAGAAATGTAAAACAAGCTAATTATTTATATTACAGCACAAGATGATAATTTACCCTAGCTTATAAATACAAAAAAAGAACAATAAAAACAATAAGTAACCTAGTAAATTATTAAAAGAAGTCCCTTTAGGCAAGGTTCCGAAGGTACTGGCAGCGTTCCCCCTTTGAATAGCTAGACTAATTCTTTCTCCGAGGTAGCGGCTAGCTCTTCGGACAAAGAATATTATGTTATATTGTCAAATTTTGATTAATTTAATTTAAATTTTAGATGTTAGGGGTTGAAAGATGTTTGATGTTAGACATCCTTTATCAAAGGGCAGAGTACAGAAAAAATTCAACAAATTCAATACATGAAATGCCAACATACGATTTATAGCGGAGTTAATCTGGCGGGCGACAAATCTGACGCATGTTGAAATCCTGACAGCTCTCAAACGCGACCAGTTAATAACTTCCCGCCAATTTTCGTGAAATTTTAAATTGCATTTTTTGACATAAACTAATTTACAAATATGTTTTTTTCAAGATTTAAAATTTATTCACTAGTCTGTCCTGAAAAAACCTTTTACAAAATTATCTACTTCTACTATAGGCGGAAAATAATAGACGTCTCTTGGGCCGTGAGGTTGCAAGGTTTAAGTTGGCACCTGGTAGATACCGGTGACCCCAGAGCTGGTGCTTTCCTCAACGAATAAGTATCGCAATACATCGAGGAAATACTGCCAGCGTTAACGTTACACTGCCGCAGGGACCAAGTTTTTAAATTCCATATCTTGGAATATTAATGATCGATGTGAGATTTTAGTTTCAGAGGAATTTATGAACAAAATATAAAAACTTGCTACATTATACACAAAAATAAATCATATTTATGCATTTACTCACAGATTTCATAACAACAACACAAAATACAAAATTTTACTATAAAACATAAAATTTCGATATTATAGATCGTAATTAGACACGAACATAATATATAACAAATTTGGGTTTGTATTTAGGAGACCGATTGAACGATTCAAAATTTGTGGTTTTAATTGAAAATGAAACCTTTATTGTATTAATTAAAACTTACTTAAGTGGAAAATAATTCAAAATTACACGCTTTTACATTCATAAGTACTTTATCTCAATAAATACCAAATATAATATATATAAGTGTCATATAACAAAAGCAAACATTACACTATAATTAACCAAAATAAATTTTAATAAGGCAATTTGTAATCTATAATTCATGTTTATAGAAAAATTGCCATAGCGTCGATTACAATAATACCTAAAAAATATAATTTACTTTTACTTAGCCAAAAACGTCACTTAATAGACTGTCTTAAAAAAAACTTGCTGCGAGCATCTCCTTTTATCATTTTACCTGCCTATCTACGCTACATTCAACCTCCCGGAACCAATATTTGTTCCGCCTCTTTACTCAATGCCAACACATGCTGACCTGTCTTCGCACTTTACTCCTTCATTTAATAAACAATTGTTATGTTCTTTATAATTATTTGTATTTTTTTCGTCTTCTGTGTCAATGTTGTATTGTACTTGTCTTACCATTCTACTGTCATGGTTATTAGAAATTAAAAAAATTTTTTTTTTTTTAATTTTAAACGCGTTATTACAATTTTTACCTGTTTATCAAACAGTATTAGGCATAACACGCGTTAGTGTATGAGTGAGTGTGTTGGTGTAATGTGTATGAATGTGTTTTACATGTTTTAATTATTATTTTCTGTGTAGGATACACATACAATTATATATAATACTAGGTGACCTGGCGAAACGTAGTATTGCCGTGTATATCATTTATAATAAAAAATAGGGGTTCATCGTAGAGGGGTTGTATATATTTTTTAATGCTGTATCATAAAAAAATAAAAATTTATCTAAAAATTAAAAAAAAAATTAGGGACAGTGGACTACCCATAATATTTAGGGGGATGAAAAAGACATACCCTATATGCACACAAAATTTCATGAGAATCGGTAAAGCCGTTTCGGAGGAGTTTAACTACAAACACCGCGACACGAGTATTTTATACAGTAGATTTAATTAATCTTCTATCTGTTTCTCTTACTCTATAGTATTCTACTAAAATTAAAAACTTATCATCAACAATAATCAAACTAAAAATCTTCTTTGAAGTCGGTTAAAACGGCCAAGCTATTACCGAGAGTATCAAAAGTGCAATGAATATAAATTTTTGAATCAGGTACGAGGAATCGATTTATCCCGACACTGATTATACTCACGCTATGCTCATTTTGCAAAGTGATAGCTTTTGAAGCGATCATTACAGGTTTATACTGGAGCTTTTGTTCTAACGACCCAGCTTTAGGTGGGTTCTATGGCTGATTCATTCGATTTTTGAGTCGAAGAATGAAGACCGTATATCAAAATTCAATTTGTGTTTAACAATATTGTATAGAAAAACCAGGACTCTGACCTTAAGTAAGAACAAAGTCGTAAAGCACATTTTTGACTTCCTTGGGTGGTTTTCTTTTTATATGATAACTGCAAACGAGCTTGGACGACGAAAAAGGGCAGTCTAAATTTTTGGGTGCGATGCCGGCCTTTGAGGGAGGAGTAGACTCGCTTTTTAAACATTTGGAGGTCGTATCTCTGAGGAAATTATTAATTTTATTCTACGGAAATTATTTTGTGTACTATCTTAGTAATGCTCGTTTACCAATATATAATTTTCTGAAATAGATCGCATCAAACATAAAGATAGTTTGAGTTTAGATTGTAATAACAAATAATCATAAATGTTAAATGTGACATTTTAAAAACAAATAAAAGTGGGAATAAACCTCTGTTTCACTATGGTCATTCCGCGAAAATAGTGGTAATAAATGTAACGTTCAAGACATTCGTCAAAATGTGCCGTCGTAATGTGCGGTTACAGTGTCATCGATAATAATTATGTTTAAACAGAGAAACAATGATAATCCCCTTTGCTCTTCAGTCTAACTAGATGAATTACTGTAATGTACATTAAGTTATTTTTTAACTATGTACACTAAATACGTAACAACAATGGTTAAATTGCCGAATAGGAAAAAAATAGCAATGTATATGTAATGTACTTAGTGTCCTAGTAATTATAGTATTACCTTCTTTTATTTTTTCTGAAAAAAAAATTTAGCTTATACGACTTTGTTCCCCGGGGCAAGCTATATGTCAAATACAATACATTATTATACGACAAGTCTCGGCTCTGAATCTTATCGTAAACCACAGTTATTATTAATTTATAAAATAATGTCTATGAAAGTAGTATTACCACAGTAATAGGTAATAGGGAAAGGACAATTTTAGATAAAAGTTGTTTTTTTTTTGAGAAAATTTATGCTGGTCCTTCGAGCCGGAACTATCGACTAATGTATACAATTACTATGCAATACATTTTGTCGATACATATTGCTAGTTTTAAGTAATAGCCAGCTTAATTACGGTAAAAATAAGCAAAATGTGTCTTTTACAGATGTTTTGGGCAGTTTGTTGTGTCATGTTGGCCGTGGGCAGTGTATGCACAAGTGCGGCGCCTAGGAGCGAAATTTCACACCCTATCGACTGGACCCAACTGGAATCAGCACCCGATGATGTAAGGTTTTTACTAAATAGTTATAAGTTTCAGACGAAATACGGCAGAAATTTTTACGAAACAATCTAGTTTTGAGGGTAAGATTTGTTCACACAGCCTTTGGACTGAAAATCTGGCCGTGAAGGCATTGAGACATAGCGTGATTTGCTAATTAGATATATAATATAAATAAAGGAAAAGTATAACATGATATATGTATCGATCTAGTAACTAAAGAAAAAAATTCAATAACACGTGTCTTAGAAAATAATGGTACTAACTTGTTAGGAAATTACCAAAAAACCCTTATATTAGTTTTAAGGACAAATAACTTTTTAATGTTTTTTAACTAGACATAAGTTAGCCCTGGAAACAATCCTAGACATACTAAAGATGGGACAGGTCACATATCCCTACAAACGAAGAGCATGAATGGTTAATCTCATGGAGATGTGAGGACTGTAGCAAGTGGAGATCCGTTATCTCTGCCTACTCAGGAAAGGCGTAACATAAATAAATAAATAAAATTAGTTAATTTGTGCACTAGAAAGAGTGACGTGAGAAATTTGTCTGTATGCCTAAGGGGCCGTTCAGGTATTACGTAAGAAGAGTTAATGTATCCTCCCCCCTCCCCCGCCGTCCTAAAGCAAAGCTCTCAAAAATAATAGTACACATAAACATATTATTTTTTTGTAGGAACCCTCGAAAACGCATTTCGTATTCAAGCATAGGCAATGTGTGGGTAATATGTGTAAAAAAGTAAATAATTACTGTTGACTTAAAAACATATGTAGAAAAATAAATGTTAACACGTAATGAAGAATGATTTATTTCCACTAAATTATGTATAAATTGGAATGTCACAAAGCAAATAGCTACGTGAACCGAGAATGTCGGACGTGACTTAATATCACTGTTTACATTGTTAACGCCATCTAACAGCTTATATTAAAGTGCAAAATAAGTAAGAGAAATACCACGCAAGGGCTGTACGACATTTACAAATTGTAATTGTAATTCTTACGTTATATGAATTGACTGTAATTAATTGTTTTCTTTAGGAAAGCGTTGATTATGCTGTATCACCTGGACGCTATCCATCCGCCCCCTGGCTCTACCTTCTAGCAGAGGCACCACGTGATTCACAGGTAATTACATTTCATACATATCAGCAGGGTCACCGGATACAAATCTTTAAAAAAGACACGTAGAGATGTAGCTGTCACTTTGTTAGAGAGTATAAATGCTTTCATTGTTAGCTGGGTTTCCTTCTATTCAGATTTCATTAATAAATTTTCGTATATAGACGACAGCGCTCCGACTACTCATAGTTACCGGTACATAGCGAGTCTATTTATCGAGCAGTAGATCGACAATAGCTATAAAGGTCTCTGAGTAACGATACAATTGCTTAGTTGAAATTATTATCTAAATTGTAGATCTTTTGTTATCATATCGTAATTGTTAATTAAGATTTATAATCGCCTAGTGTTTCTCAACTCAACGGCTATGCAAGATGTTATAAAACAATTCTCCTCAATAAATCAGCTTTAAATATAAAGAGTTATTTAGTAATCTTTATAAAAAATTCATGGAGTAAGTAAAACTTTTAAAAAAAGTTATCGAAGTCGATCCACAGATTAGTTAAAACAATGCTTGATCACTTGATGTCTTGTCTAATTATAATATGGTCGAAATATATTAATTTGTTATTTAAAACTGGAGCGACGCCATCTTGAATAGAGAAGCGTTCTGGCGGGTTCTCGAATTTATGAATTAAAATTTAATTAATTTTAATTTAACAGATTTGAAAATAAATTGTATAGGTTCTATAATCTCATCATCATATTATACAAGAAAATATGACATCACAAATTTTACACACGTACACATGAATTATATTAGAACATTAGCGAGCTGGCAAGGAAAAAAAAAACAAGCTAGTTGCTTGTTTTTTTTTTCAAAATAAAAACAAAATTAAAAACAAATAATCATTAAATTAAAATAATAATAATAATAACTAAAACTAAATATAAACCTAACCTGATTATTGAAGTGTTATGAATATGTGTGTAATGGTGAATGTGGTAAATCACAGAACAGATTTTTTAATTTTTTTTACTTATGTAATTTTAATGACTGTGGTTTATGACATTTCCTTTGAATAATTGTATGTAAAGGGAGGGCAAACTCGTGAGTTTCTTGCCCGTTTTCTCAGAACAAGGCCTCCTGGTAGTTTTGCGAACGGATGGCGTAGTCTTGCTCTTTCGTGAATTTTGTAAACGTTGTTGACATTCATAAGCATGCTCTAAGAAGCATCTAAATTGAATAAACGTATTTTGATTTTGATTTTTGATTGATTAAGAACAAGATTAACAAGGTTATTGCATCTCTTTAGTAATAGCCTATTATTAGCAGTAAGCCATAATTTTATAAGCAGGAGGTAATAGATTATAGAGTGGGTTTTGATTCCATACTTCGTTAAGATATATTCCAGTAACGAAACATTTTCTGATATTTTATTATTTTCACTTACATTTACATTACTTTATATATGTCGACTCCGTTCTCTCCAAATAACATTTTCAAATTTGAGAACAAAAATAGAAATAAAACAAAAAGTAACAGTGCTAACTAATTTTGGTTTTGAGCACATTACTTACTACACAGAACATCAAACGAAACAAAAAAGTGTTTATATGAAAGACAACAATATTCTAAACACATTAAAAGTTAAAAGACAATTACGATGTCGACGAAGTCAGCAAGGAGGTTCTATTTTTACTTTCGATTATACACATACTTTTTTATTTTCATTTGGGGAAATGCATTGCGCATATCCTACCGCAGCGAGACTGCTTAGTACGCTACGGTTATGTGTTAAACCCAAAGGCGCCACCAATAAGAGCCTTCGACTGCACACAGATATTTCTCGTTATGTATAAATCAGCACGAACAATCGAATAGTAATGTATACACTTGCGCGCTCTTGAGCTTATTAAGCACAAAAAATTTCTGTTTTGGCTTCCGCTTAGAACACATGTCTTGTATCGTCAAGATGTAGTACTATATGGAGTATATATACACAAATACTTGACGAAACTATCCAAAAGTTTATGCAAAGCATATAGCTAGTTATACCAACCCTTATCACTTTAGACGGCTGTTATGTATGTAATAGAAACATATATCGTTAGAAAGCTTACGCATTTTGCTATGATTTAAAAATATATTTAGAAAACATTAATAGACAACAAAGGGTTTCTGTTAATTTTATAAAAATTACTTAATTGTATAATATTTTTTGTTGAAATTTGGCCATGTTTAAGATGTAATTTTTTTTCTATGATCCCTTGAATTTTGTATGTATTATTTTGACACTCAAATTAAACAAATTCCATAGGTTTTTTAATAGAATGAGCAAACGAGCAGGAGGCTAATCTGATGTTAAGTGATGACCGCCCATGGACACTCTCAATGCTCGGCCTTGCGAGTGCTTTGTCAGCCTTTTAGGAATTCGTATTCTCTTTTCTTGAAGGACCCTAAGTTCAATTGGTTCGGAAATAGTTGATCTAGTTTTTTTATAGAACAGGGGGCAAACGGGCTGGAGGCTCACATAATGTTAAGTGATACCGCCGCCCATGGACACTCTCCAATGCCAGAGGCCTCGCGAGGGCGTTGCCGGCCTTTTAAAAAGTGGGACGCTCTTTTCTTGAAGGACCCTAAGTCGAATTGGTTCGTTGTTCTATATAGTACTCCTATAAGTCTGATAAAGTACTGCATTTCTTGTACTTAAAACACATCTCAATTTTGTCAGTACGTGCGTAAAATATAATCGAATATTTTAGTTTTAGATTATAATGTCTGATTTAACAACATCTGATCTAGGTGATAGAAAGTGAAACAAAAGAAAGGTGGAATGTACGAAATGGCGCGATTCATTTGTTTGTGGTTAGACAACATAGACTTGACAGAAGCGCATCGTCTGTTTGACCAATCACAATTAAACGCGCCATTTCGTCTTTTGTTTTTTCATTTCCGTTTTGACGAACCGTTGTTCACAAACAAGCAACGTACCTACATGAAACCCTACAAAGTTTTAGTGTCTAATGTGATAATATTATCTATTTTATTCCAAAGAATAAGTTAGAAGCTCGGTAAAATGTGTAATAAGTAGTGTGTGAAGGTGAATAATGGAATGTCGCGGTCTCGGCGCACGGTGTACATTTCTGTGAACCCCGCTGTGGAATTGCTCCAACGTGGGGCATACAACAACTACATGGAACGGCAGGTGCATGCTAATCGGGACTTTTTGAACTGCATCGGGAAAAGGGGTAAGTTATAAATTCTCTATTATTTATGGACACATCACTTTGCTTTTATTTCTGAACAAGAATTCGATTACGAAATTATGTTTTATCGTCTTCGACTTTGATTCTAAATTCGATGATCTTTTTCGGGTTGAGAATGGTTTCCAATTTTAAAATAAACTATAGATGAACGATTTAATGACGTTAAGTATGGTATATACAAAAGCTTTTTAAAAGCAAACTCTTAAAGTATGTCATATGCCATATTAATTTTGTAATGCTATTAAAATTGTATATAAAAATGCAGAAATAAATGCATTTTCTTGTAGCCTTAGGCTCAATTTGCTTCCTTTGTACTTTTACAAAAGTCTCTATTTTACAAAACTTTCATTTATAAGCTTCCATATTTTTGCCATGGTAATATTTAAATTACGTTTTTCCACAGACTCATGGTACTCCGATTGCAAGATGGCTGCTTAAATTCTTTCATTAAGACGCAATTACGGTGCCGTCCCGAGATCTCGAAAGAGATAAAATTAATAATGTTTTGTAAATATTATATACATATGACATATTTAATAAAATCATAAAATATTAAGTTTTTTATTCACTAACCTTTGTTTCGCGCGTTAACGTTGGTTTTCTGACAATTGGTGTAACGTTTTTGACATCTTTGGGACGTCTGACGTCACTGACTTGATTCTAATTTCTACGAGAATGTTTTTTGATTATCTCTTAGTGAGATTAGAGGTTAATTCAAAGTAACATTCACGCCATTTTCAAGTTATAATATTATTCTCTCAAAAATGAAATTTTGTGTTCAATATACTAATATTATAAAAATAAAGATTTGTATTTTTGTAACGATTAAACTCAAAACCTACTGGAGCGATTTTTTAAAAATTCTCACAATTTTACCGATAAAACAGCCCCGGCCATTATAAAAACGTGTGTCAGGCACAGAAAGATTTTCTTACCTATTAGAAAAAAAACGAAACAGATACAGAAATCTGAGACACCTAAAAGTTTTTTTTTTCGGAATGAACCGAAGGATGGAATGAAAAAAACTCACTTTAAAATCATAGTAAGCACAATAGATGTGTACGTATTTTTAAAACAATATTTTCTCATGTGAGCTTTTAAATGCCAGCAAATAATGCATTCAGAATTTAATTGATATGACACTAGTTATGTAACCTAACATTAGTTAAGACACATATATCTTTTAATAAATAATTAGAAGCGAAAACGAAATGTGCAATTATCGCACACTTGAACCCAATATGAGCCCTTCAGTTATTCCCACACTCATAACACTTAAACAGAAGTGTTACTTAAATTTAAGAATCGTTAAGTTAGAATTTTGTTAAACCAGCGTCGCAATCCCACTAGCCCTAATTTTAATTTAGTTATAAGCTCATCTTTTCAACGATTAAAGCCAGTTGACACCCAGCTTCGAACAAAGAGTTTCCATTAATTTACATTTGAACATCCCTCCATCAACCGTCACCGAACTTAACTTACGATTCAAAAAATATTAACACTGAATAAATTCAAAACTCTCGTTTAACGTAAATTAATAAATAAAGCTTTTTTATAAATTTGACGATTATTTAAATACTAATCCTTGGGATTGATTTGCTCCAGTTCAAACAATTTGTATGACTCAAAACTTGGCGATTTAAAAGAGTGACGGAGGGTTTCTTGCCAGTTATTCTTGCCCGCTACGCAGGTGACTTGCGAACAGGTAGTAAATGTAAATTTAGATTCAAATTAACATCTTTTCTGTTGACGTCCATAAGTGTACTTGGTTACGTATATGAATAAAGTTATTTTGAGTTTAAGCTAACAGACTTAGTTATTATACACGAGTCAGAAAGTTGGTTCTAATGAGTGTGAATGGAAAGGGCGATGGCAGAGTGAAACGACGGATGCCATCCCTCTCCATCGACCTGCCAATGTCTGTTCTGCGGCAAAAGCTGAGCCTCGAGAAGGAAAGAAAATTCCAGGCTATTCGGGCGGCAGCCAACAGGGACTACCTTAACGACATCGGAAAACGAGGTATTCTAAATAGATTTTATAGTATAATAAAGTATAGTGGTGGGGGCAGTAGGAGTACTGGGATCTTAGCGGTTACAAAGTTCTAGAGAATTGTATTACAAAGTTCCGTAAATCATTGCACAATATACATAGATAAGCAGGTGATCCAGCCTATTTTATAAATATATTATACCTATATACCTATATAGTGGATCTGGAAATGTATGCCGAAATTATTCAGTGTTGGCCTAGTTCCTCCAGCGTGCGACTTTCATCACTTAGGTTGTAGGTTCGATCCCCGGCTGTGCACAAATGGACTTCCTTTCTATGTGCGCATTTAACATTCGGTAACGGAAATCATCGTGAGGAAACCACCATGTCCCAAATCAATAAATCATGTGTCAAAGCTGCTTGATCCTTTGGCCCAGATCTAACAGCGTATTTCTCTGATCTTGATCTTTTTAAGAAACAACAAAATAGACTGTTTTTTTTTCAATTTTTACAGTTACGATACACAGTTTTAATATGTTATATTTTTTTCTTTCGTCGTTATTCTAACTTCCTTCAGCACCATCGATCGAAACATCTTCATTTGCCTCCTCCACCCTTTTCCAAATTCGTCTATCCATGGATTTTTTGAAATTATTTCTCTTTTATATTTAACTTATAATGATCAATCCAATATGTTTTTTTGTTTGTGTAAGTAATAGTTGTTAACTATGTTATTTGTTTATGTTTGTATTTCGTTTTTGGATTTTGTGTATAATGTTATTGTTTTGATATTGATAAGCTATAGTAATGATAAGCAAACTAGTAAATACATAAATGTCTGTTTCCATCCGGTTCCTGCTACCACTTCTATATCTTCTATCACCTTTAGGGCACCTCCTTCTCTTCCCATATAGTTGTTCTCTTTAAGTCCATTTTTTTCTGTGTAACAGTTTCATTGCTATAATAATGTTCTATTTTACAGGTATCCTATGGAATGCAGCATTTGATTCGGAGAAATATTAGAGAGTTTAATAGTGCTAATAAGCAAATATTCCGAAAAAGTTTATGTATTATATAATAATTATGATCTCATTAGACTTAGATGTTTTACGTACATTGTATAAGTTTTCAATAGTAATAGAATATAGTTATAAGTAAATGTTTTAAAATATATATATATATGAAATAGATGATGTTTTATTTCTGGACGATTAACAATTTTCTTAATCTACATAGTAATCAATTTCTGAACGATTAATTTTTCATATTGACATTTGTCATATTGAGTCCCTTAGGTGGGGCAACACATCCACCAAAATGGGTGTATGTATGTTCATGGGTAAATCCCTATATTATAAAAGTAAGGAACAAACAAACAAAACGTTGCTCCAAACTGTCCTGCGATTCTGTAACTCACTTTTCGAACTCACACAGCGGTTTTCGCATCGGCGGTCGCTCTCAAATCAGTCGTGAAGCAGTAATTTTATGATTTGGCATTCTGAAAAGGTGGGAGCTTGTAGTTTATCGTTTATCAGAATGCCAAATCATAAAAACCGTACATGGAGGACACGGTCGAATTTCTAAGGACAAGCACGAATTATAAAAAATCATAAACTTGACGCTGGCTAATGCACAAATCGTGCTAGAGCCATTAAAAAAAAAATATTTAGTTCCACGCTGTCATCGCGTGGTAGAAAAGCTGCTAATCAAAGTAAAGTTACAATTACAGCTACAGGTTTTTTTATAGAACAGTGGGCAAACGGGCAGGAGGCTCATCTGTTAATGGGCGATTGACCATGAACACATCCTGCTAGAACGCGAGTACATTACCGGCTTGCATAATACAATTATGAGTTGTACATTGCTGTTTTATATGGATTACGATAGTTTACTGCCAGATGTGGCTAATACACCATATTTTACTTTAAAAACTATATCAGTCTACTATTTTAACTAAAGCGATCCGTCATTTTTATTTTATTTATGCTCTCAAACAACCCAGACAATTAAACAATTATGAAATACATATATAAGAACTATGATATACACGTACTAATGACAAGAGAATTTACGAATCAGCCAACCAGATCCATGTCATCTGAACTGTATTGTCTCTTTTCATCACAGCGTAAACACAATTTGACAGGAAGGGACAAAGGTCTAGTTCAAACAGTAATTGAACAAAAATAAACTTGTATTATTAAAGAAACTAATTTACATATATATTAATTTATTATTATTATAATAATAATTAATGGGTAAATAGAAAACTAATACCAATTTAAAAAGTTTGGTCGCTGTGGCAGTGTACCTACGAGGCGTGTATTTAAAGTAAGGTCTCCATTTATTTTTTTCACATTAAATAACATGTATTTACAAAGTTTAATACATTGCTGTAAAGCTTGAAATCTAAGCTATTTTTCTATATAATCGCCATTCACTTCGATGAGTTACTTCATTCGTACGACAAACTTTTGTACTCGAACCATGATCCCGCCGCCTCGCGCAGGAACGAAATGACCGCTTCATGCACTTCTTCATCATTCGCAAATTTCATTCCTCCTAGATGTTTTTTCAGGGCAGGAAACATGTGGAAGTCACTAGGGGCGACGTCGGGACTGTAAGGAGGGTGGTCCAACACATCCCAACCAAATTTCGTAATGAGTGACGTTGTTTTGTTGGCCACATGAGGACGCGCGTTGTCGTGATGAAGTCGTACTCCCTTGGTCAGCATCCCTCTTCGTTTATTTTGAATAGCTCTTCGAAGTTTCCTCAAGGTCTCACAGTACCGATCAGCATTTATGGTTGTTCCACGAGGCATGAAATCGATCAGCAATACACCCTTTCTGTCCCAAAAGACGGTGGCCATAACCTTGCCTGCTGATTTTTCTTGCTTAAATTTTTTGACTTTAGGCGAATGCGTGTGTCTCCATTGTTTCGACTGCTCCTTCGTTTCCGGTGTGTAATAATGAGCCCATGTTTCATCTCCTGTAACGATTGAATCGAGAAATTCTCCCCCATCCTCTTCAAAACTGGCGAGAAAGTCTTGGGCACATTGGACACGTTTCACTTTGTGCTCCGGGGTAAGCATTTTCGGGACCCACCTGGCTGACAATTTACGGTATTGCAGATTATTCACCAAAATTGAATGAATAGGGTCTCTACTGCACACATCTTGAAGTTTTTCGGCCAACTCATTGAGAGTCAACCTGCGATCTTTCAGCACAAGCTCTTCAACTTACCGCACTGTTTCATCGGAGTGTGACGGCCTGCCACTGCGCTCCTCGTCATGAACGTTTAGGCGGCCAGCAGAAAATTCTCTACACCATTTTCGAACATTTTTCACATCCATACATTTCTCACCATACACTTCTTCCAATTGACGATGAATTTCTATAGGTGGAATTTTTTTTGCGTGTAAAAACTTAATGACTGAACGTAACTCGCACCTAGCGGGAGCGACAACCGGTAACTCCATCGCAAACGGCTGCTACGTCGAGAATGAGCGTCCTAATGGTTAGGACACCCAGATGTCGACTTGTGGAGGGGGGGCCACACGTATACAACAGTGTTGCCGGATTTCACCTAGAGCTACTTGCGGCGATACGGTGGCCTTGGAGACCTTACTTTAAATACACGCCTCGTATATTCCTCGCTGTATTGCGATACTTATTCGTCGAGCGAGGAAGGCACCAGGTCTGGGGTCATTGGTGCAACCAGGCGCTTACTTACTTAAATCTTTAATTAACTGTAAACTTAAACCCTACGGCAAGCCTACTATAAAAATTAAAACTAAGTCAAAAGTTAAAAAATCATTTATTCATGTAGGTAACACAATGTACACTTATGAACGTCAAGAAAGAGAAATATACATTAAATGCTTCTAATTTTACATTTACTGCCAGTTCTCAAATCAAGGGCGTAGAACGGAAGAGAAGAACTGGCAATAAACTCTCCGCCACTATTTTTAATCGCCAAGTTTTTTGTTTTACACAACGTTTGTAAGGAGCTGCAACCATTACATCACGTTCCACATGACATCTTTGTTTTGTTCAAGTTTATCGTCCATCGTCAATATATCCAAAGCATGTAATAACTGATGATGATTGGTCCTCCGCCGGATCTGCCATTTCCAATAACATATATTTTGATATAATTCTCTCAGTGCTGCCACCATCGCGCGGTACAACATGAGTACGAGGTCGGTTCCGTCGCTAGCTTTTTACAATTACTCCGATGCTATACTGACATCTTCTGTAATTAGCCATATCGATACGAACTTTAATTTACTGTTTCTTAACACACTGTATCTGAACATAAAGAGAGGAGAGATTTTATATAGTTTAGATCACTCATCATATGTACTATTTCTTCAATTATGACGTAGGACAAAAAATGTTCCGAGCAGATAAAACTTTTAAACAAATATATTATTCAAAGCGCAATTGTCGATACGATGGCATCTGAATCGCACTAACGATTTCCTTTTCCTACTTTCATGATAGATTTTTAAATCTGATTTCTATTTTAACGTTGCGATTTTTGTTCATTTTCAACCGGAATTTGTCAATTTGTAATTTCTTTGTATATTACTGATTTGTATGTGTGTAACATATTCTCGTCGTTGGGGTCCTAGCGCTATAAGGTTTTTTAAGGAAATAGAAATAGGTTAGTCGACATCACAGGAGACCGAAGAGCTGGCAGCTACCTCGGACAAAGATTTAGTCTAGCTATTAAAAGGGGGAACGCTGTCAGTATCTTCGGAACCTTGCCTAAAGGGACTCCTTTTAATAATATATTTTAGTTATCTTAATATACATAAATTACGTGTCACGTTGTTTGTCCGCTATGGACTCCTAAACTACCGAATCGATATCAATCAAATTTGCACACCGTGTGCTGTTTGATCTAACTTAAAAGATAGGATAGCTTACATCTCCATTTATACCCGCAATATTATTTTATTGCAAAATATTTGTTTATTATTTAATAGTCACAATTCTAACAGATGGCGCTGTGTTGAAAGTACCAACGTATCACATAAGTTACAATTTAATGGCATAACCACCATAAAGCATGGTGGTCCCCATAACTGGTGTTCTCCTACCGTTTCCCTTGAATAGTTTGCTACTATGTAATATAACAAAAACCTTAGCCACAGCAACGCTTGACCGGTCTGCTAGTTATATTATATTTTTTTAAAGTTTTTAGGTTTAGATTCAAATAATGTTATTTTTACGTTTCTTAATTAATGTTTGATAATACTATAATAATAAGTAATAATTGATTAAATATTTCTCGGATTTATATTAATAGTTTCTCAAAGTAGCTATGAGAAGTTAAATTTAATTAAAAAATGTCTTAAACTGGACCGATTCCTTCCTCAAATTTTATTATTTACCTGGTTTTTTTATTTATATGGTTTTATTATAAGAGCAGTGTTGGCCTAGTGTCTTCAGCGTGCGACTCTCATCCCTGAGGTCGTGAGTTCAAACCCCGGCTGTCCTAGCTAACACGCTCGAAGGAAAACATGATGAGGAAACCGGTCAATCTTAGACCCAATAAGTCGTCATATAACACAGAGGCTGGCCACCTGATAAAAAACATTCTTGAATCGCTAAATATATTGTATAATTATTATTATTCATTTTATATTATACTAGCTAACCAGGCAAACGTTGTTTTGCCATGTATATTATTTCTAGGAAACATTTTTTAGTTCAATAAAAATAACTATCTACTATAATAAAAAATAGGGGCTGATTGTAGAGGGGTGAAAATTACACCCCTTATCACTTAGGGGTTTGAAAGATAGATAGTAGCCGATTCTCAGACTTACTGAATATGCATAAAAAATTTCATAAGAATCTGTCGAGCTGTTTCGGAGGAGTATGGGATCGAACATTGTGACACGAGAATTTTATATATTACATTATCTATAAACCTTATATTATTCATGGGGATATTTCCGGAGTAGTTGCAGGTCGGGCCCGGCGGGTCGCCAAGTTCAGCGGACCTAGTTTTAGTAAATAAAGTGAAGTTTAAGGAAAAGGGAGATTTGACAATGCCCTACTGGCTAGCTTCTCTTCTCTGCCACATCGCGTGCCTGATAGGCCACTATGGGGTTCCTATGTATTCAAAATATTATTGCAGAGGCTGATTCGAGACTTTAACGTTCGACCGAAACGCAAAATGCCCTCGCTGTCCATCAACAACCCCATGGAGGTGTTGCGTCAGAGACTGCTGCTAGAAGTTGCCAGGAAGCAGATGCGCGAAGCAAACCAGAGACAAGCGGTGGCAAACAGAGTGTTCTTGCAGAATGTTGGAAAACGAGGTTTGTAATTTATTTTTTAAATCATTTAGTGTTTATGCATTTTTAACTTTGTTTTGAAAAAAATTACAGTAGGATGAAACCCATTAGAAAAGCAGGGGAATTTGATTAAAAATAATAGGAAAAATAAATTACGGTCGATCTGAGGTCGGGAAGGGAGGGGCTGTTTTAAGGGTAAAAACGGTTTTCGATTTCGCAAAACTAAAAGTCCTATCGAAGAAAGTTAAATGGCAAAGTTGTAGGTAATAAAAAGATCTAAAACTTTTGTATTCACACATTTTTCACATAACCTCAAAATTTATGTGAAAAATTCAAAAAACCAAGTTTGGTTTTAATTTTTATCTTTTACAAATTTCTTTTTTTTAAGAAATTGGTGAAAACTACCTATTATGTCCCAAATATACTGTAATTTATTTGATTAAAAATATTTGTTTTTCACCTTATTTTGAATTAATATCGAAAAAACACCCAATTTTCAATCGAAAATTCTGACGTCAAAATTTCAGCTTTTTCAAAAAGTTGGTGTGCTTTCAGTTTGTTGAAATCCTACTTTTCTATGGTAAAAAAATATATAATATATAACCATAGTAAATCTTCTCCAGAAAATGCAAAACATCGTATACAGTAAAGCCCAGACCCGTCATACCCTGCCCTACTTCTCTATGAATCTTCTTTAAAAAATTAGATGCCTATTTATTACTATTTTAAGATAACTTATATATACCTGAGTGACCCAAAAAAATTTTTAGCCTTTAGATGGGCTAAAATTTTCGTATTTCATAGAGAAGTAGGGAAGGGTATGACGGGTCTGGGCATTACTGCATACATCTAGCTGCTCAGATAGATGTATAAGTCATAAATCAATTTATATAATCAGTAATAGTTGACTTAGGACCCTGGGGCTGGATGACTGCCGTTTTTGGGCGTCCCATAGTTACGTTTGCCCCTCTATTTAAAAAAATCCAGCTGGTGTTGCAGCTCAAGTATATTTAAAAAGCATACAAAACTGCGGTCAGTTTTGCCAGTTCTTGTCACTTCATCCTTGAAGGCAATATGTTAAATTGCTTATTTAAAATAAATAAACCTTTGATTAAATTTTTACCTGTTTGCATAGAGTAAATTTACTTTGATTTCTATGTAAAATGTTTTTGTATATAATGGCAAAATTTATTTGTATAAAATATTTAACTTTAAGAAGGTAAATGAGTAATCATTTACCTTCTTGCTAAATGTTCCTTACTTTGTTATCTTACAGTTACTAGAACTAAAAGTCTTCTATATGTACCTACGGCTCGCTTATTTGCTACTTTAATGGTCCAGTGAATAGGCTGTCTAGCTGTATGAGCAGTGTTGGCCTAGTGGCTTCAGCGTGCGACTCTCATACCTGAAGTCGTAGGTTCGATCCCCGGCTGTGCACCAATGGACTTTCTTCCTATGTGCGCATTTGCTCGAACGGTGAAGGAAAACATCGTGAGGGAACATGTCTTAGACCCAAAAAGTCGACGGCGTGTGTCAGGCACTGGAGGCTGATCAGTTGCCTATAAGATTTATAAATGAACATGAAACAGATTCAGAAATCTGAGGCCAAGACTTAAAAGTGGTTGTAGCGCCACTGATTTTTAATAGGCTGTCTCGCTCTTACAACTTTATTACTAGCATTAATGAAAATATTGATGTTTTACAAAAATCTTCCAACTTACCGTAAGTTTGTGTATCACGCTCTTAATGAGGGCAAAGTTTCTACTTAGTTTTAGTTATTTTTTATTATAAATTAAAAAAAAAATATTTTGCTAAATATTAGCAAAAAATTCCGTCGCAGCAATCTGCCATTTTTACAGAAAAAAAAAATACAAAAAAGTATGTACATATTACTAATTTATTATTTTATAGGTCTTTGGATGAACTCAGTATCATCGCGCTATGGCATCTAAGGAACTACGACTCAACATTCTTCCTTTTCTCTATTTCTAAAGAAGCTAAACAGTCCAAGGTACCTTTTCTTTGAAAAAATAAAATTTATTTTCTTGTAAACAGGAAATAAACGCTGAATACTAAGATTTGTCTTCCTTATTGTTAGCCTAAGCTCACTGACGTATTAACGGCCCGTAATTTAATCACTACTTGAACTGATATTAAAAAAATTAACATCTGTCAGAAATCTGAATACACACAGTAAGTGAAAGATAAGTCAAAGCTATCAAACACAACTCAAAAAGTTTTATTAAAAGAAATATTATCTGTTTTCCTTTGTGCAAACTGCATTCCATATTCCATATACATACGCCCTGATAAAGTAAAGTAGACATTAAACGACGGATACTACGCAAAGACTTACCGCTAAGTATGACTCCCGAATGTCAAAAACGTATTAGATTTGTCATGGGAGAGACACTAAGCGCGTCTCGACTCTATCCCCAAGGCAAGCGTTAATATGTCAGTGAACTTGGGTTTTAGAAAAATATATTTTTTCGTAGTCATAGAATAGTTTTAAAGGCGTGATTGTTAACCAGCTCAACAATCGCGTATAATAGAGGTTTTTGTACGTTAATTTGCGAATTTCTTTATATGTGCCAAAGATTATTAATAAGTATTTGATAAAAGATGGCCCTAAACATATTGTGCTGAAATTAAGCGAACTTTTGTTATAACTTCAGCGATTCCACGAACAGTAGCAGTGGAAACATACTTGAATTTTTAATTTAAAAACAGCTTCACGGACTTACTGCAATACTGGGTTTTGGTTAAAAATTCGCGGCAAGAGATTTCTTAAATATTTATGAATGTTGTATTATTTGCGATAATAAATTATTTATGGTTACAATTATTTCGCTATGACTATTATATATCTCGTAATGCGCTATGTATGTCTCAATAAGCACAAGTGTTAGGGCGGGGTCCGTGCTACGGGTATCTAAAGACCGAAAACCGTTAACTATCGTTCGGATCAGAAATTCAATAAAAATTGATTAAATTAAATTTTCGTTGCAGCTTTATAACTTTATATATTCTACATCTAAGTACTCAACAAAAATCCCACGAAATCTAGTTTTTAATCCGCACAAAAATATTTATTTATTTCTTAACATTATTTTTATTTTTTATTCTCTATATACTTTTAAACACAAGACTTCTTTACTTACACTGTAATTTTTTTACTATTATTATTAGCACATTATTTTTCTTTTTTTTTTCCGTCTGAGGCGCAAACTATCTGTTGTGGTCTCTGTCAGAATGACCAGCGCTGTGGAACACGTCTGCTCCACAGCATAATGCTGAGCCATGGCCTTCGCGATCTAATTATAGTTTCCAAAAACTCAATAAACATATGGTCAATAAGTTTATTAGGAAATTAAACTGAATAATCTTACAGTAAACACGCAAAACTGTAAACTTAGTTACTGAAATCTTGGAGAGCTCCAGTATTACCATTTTCAAATGGTCCCTTCTAATAAATAAATGCCCCACATAAGTTGCCAACATCAACAGAAATGTGGTGTCCCTTAAATAATAAATAATTGTTAATGATTTGATGGAAGAATTTAATATTGACCCCAAGAACTAGCAAACTCTCCTCTTCGAGACTTCCATGAGAGATGACCTCCAATTGTTCTCTTCTTTCAAATCCCGGCAACGCACCCACCAAAAATGGGTGATGACTAGGCTTGTTTGCCTATAAATAAAAGGCCTACTTTTTGGGACCGGTCTTTGGATACTCGTCATGGATATGTAGATATGTATTGCTGTCTCCTATATAGATAAGTGCAGAGTAGATGTTATAAATATTTTTTACTCTCAATTCGATCTCATAGCTTATTAGACAAATTGTGAGTTCAATAAAACGTTAAATTGTTTTTTTTGTTTTATTTATTCCCGAATATAAACTTAAAACATTAAATGTAGCTATCGCAGGATTTAATTAAATAGTATTAGAAACGAAAAATGATGTCTTGTCAGCATGCAATGGAAAGAAGCATCTTAAAGAGAAAAGAGAAGAAAACAAGAAAGACATTCGTAACAAAATAAAACCCACAGATGCACTTGTACACGCTTTAAGGCTTAAATGGAAATGGGCAGGTTATACGAAACAACAAAATGGAAGCCTAGAAAGACATGTATAGGACGACGAAAGGTGGACAGATGCGTAATAGGACTAGCGGGGAAAACCTGGATGAATGTTGCTCAAGAAAAAAGAGAAATGGAAAAATATGAAGGAGGCTTTTATCCATACAAGTACTAGAACACTTATAAAAACTAGTATTATTTTTAAATGGTTTTATTTAGCTCACCCCGTTTGTTTTATTCTTGGGTCAAATTTAGTAATTCAAATTCCACCCTCTTCCTGTCAATCGATTAATCTGAAATTTTGTATACACTTTGGATTTTGGTGACAATACAATAAACTAAATAAATAAATAAATAAATATTATATAATATATAACATTATATTAAAAACTGTATCTATTTTATTAATTAAATATATATTATATTTATATTATAGAATTGATTTATTTATATAAACTAACGGGCAAGGAACCTTGCAATAATGAAGCACCCTAAATGAATTAAACAGAATGCGAAATAAAAACTAAAAACTAGAAAATAAAAATAGGTAAAAAAACTTTTTTAAGTTAAACGGTTTTATGTTAAACATACATTGCAATGTTTAAGATAAATGTAAAAAAAAAAAAAAAAAAAATAATAAAATAGATACAGTCGTGGGAATTATAAACATATGCATAGACTAGACCTTAAAATAAAACCGTGGGGCAGTCAATTGTCTGTTGAAACGATTCCTCGCCAGCCAGCAGTGTGAATGTCCAACGATAAACTAGTTGAAACATCTCTTTTTATTTACATGGTAGTGTATAACTATTGGAATTTCCATGAGCAAGAAAATAGTAAGTAATTTCCTGACCGTCTGCGGGCCAACTGCCCTATTTTAACGACGAATTAAACGATTCTTCTATCGCACATTAAGTCGATAATTTGTAGACAATTGACGTGCCCCACG